CGGACGCCCTTTTCGAGCTTAGCTCTTCCTCCGGACCTGAAGATGGCGACCGTGATGGTACCTTTAAACTCGATAGCGACTCGAGTGACACGTTACAGGAACTTCTGGACGAAATTGGTTAGTGCTAATTTGCAAATAATGTTCGTATATGACCATTGTCTAACATTTATCGATATCAGATTCAAGCGCCACAAGATCGCAACAAACAGGTTTATTTTGGATGATATTAATGGTATTATTAATAGCTAACAAAAACTGCGGTATTTTTTGTTGTAGCTAAGCCGGACAGCCGCGCTTCCAAGAGGAAAAACCGTCTGCACCGACTAACAAGACCAGCAAAACGACGACGGCGTCGGTGGCTTGCTGTACACGACAGCTCTGCCGAGGACAGTCTTGCAGAGACTATATCTTTGTCATCTGCAGATGATGAACATGACAAGAAAACCAAAATACCCGTTCAAGACCCCACCGTTGGTCGAACGCCACGGGTCAGGCGTACCAAGTCGTATCCGGAACGTTTGGCAATGGAATCAGACCGTGTGAACTTTGTAAATAAGGTTCCGCCGATGCCACAACTTGAGTTTTCGACATGGGAAGAGCTCAGCGATGAAATGGAGAAATGTTGCAGCGAGAACTTTCTACTATTCAGGGCTCGAGACACCCAGACGGTGAAAAAACACAATTCGTAAGTACAATTCGTATTAAAGTATATTAGTTTTAATTTATATCAGACTCGGACTACAACTCACAATGTTATTATTTGCTATGTTGTGTGTTATAGGTTAGCTAAGCTGCAGATACCAAACAAGATGCAGCACAGCTACAAGGTGTTTCGTTGCACCCATGGTTGTCTTCAGAAATCTCGCAGTAAAGGTTTGCGGAGTACGCCAACTAGGTACACGAGCCTGCTCAGCCCGATGGTACAAGTTGTGGACTTCTAATGTTGGGAATGGTTTACGCTTTCTTGCGCAACGCCCATCGGTTTGAGCGCCATCGTATCACGAGTGCTTACGTACGAGTGATGAGGTTGAGCTTGACTTGGCTGCTGCTGTGCACAACAAATTCTGCCTTACGAAATGATGAAGAATTTGGAAAAATGCAGAAGACAGATGAAGAGGTTACT